GTACTGAATAAATTCATAAGTGAATGAACACAGAATGCTGGAAGAGTTAGAGATGTTCAATCACAGCACTTTACACATATCCACATATGAGGGCAATCTGAGAATATAAAAGGCAGCTTCTGCTCATGCTCTTTCTGGTCTTGGGCTGTGTGGCTTCTGTCCTGTCTGCCTACAACGAGGTTCCCACCCACACCACCTGCCTCTTCATCTCCTCACTATTAAGTCCCAGTTTAAAGTCATTTTTGGGGAAATGTTTCCTGATCTTCCAGATTCCACAAGACCCTTCTGTCATATGCATTCTCTATTTCCCCCTCAAAATGCTTATCACAACTGTATCCACTGGTTTGTAAAATTATTTATTTACTATCTGTCTTCTCTGCTGGACAGTGTGATTTATGAAGGTAAGTCTCATGTTGATTTTGTTTTTGTCTCTCTCTCTCTCATCACAGTTTCAATGCCCTGCCTATCCCATAGCTAGTGTAACACTAAATGCCTGTTTGTTGTATAGATGAATTTCTCACTTATGTTTATAAATCCTTGAGATCACCTCTCCCCTCCTAATGTCATTTTAAATTAAGTTCGGGAAACTATGGTCAGTGCCTGGAAATCTGGACAAGCTAATGGGACAAACTGATTCTAAGAGGGAGGTATATTCCAGCTTTTTTCTTTTTTCAATGATTATTTATTTTGAGAGAGAAAAAGAGTGAGAGAGAGGAGTGGTGAGGCATAGAGATAGAGGGACAGAGAGAATTCCAAGCAGGCTCTGCACTGCCAGCACTGAAATCCAGAGTCAGATGCTTAACTGATTGGCCCCCCCCAGGCATCTCCCCCCCCCCCAGTTTGTTTTTCTTAGCACTGAGAACATTCTCAAGGGCTCATAGGGAGCGTGGGGATGAGTTCATGATAACTTCAAAATTCATGAGTGTAAATACAAATAAAACCACTGCCAAACCTAATAACACAAAACTACAAGCAAATCAAAGGCTGGGGCTATGTCTTTCATTCCTGTATCACTAACTCCAAAGTGATTTCAGGTACATAGGAGGAGCTCAAAGTCTACCTGTCCATACTTACTGAATGCACTGAATTCAACTGAATAATTGGATACCCAGAGGTATTCTTGGCAGTAATAGTATCACTTCTTTTGTAGTTCTCTCTCTTGCCCATAGATGAAGCAGCCAAAGGAGATATTTTATTAGTTAGCTCTTAAGCAGTGTCCTTACCTGACAGGTGTAGCAGAAAGCTATATTGGAACAGGAGCCGTGAGTCCTGAGTTCCAGTTCCGATTTACCAGTTATTACCCTTATGTCCCTACAGTAATAACTCCATCCTGGGTTCAACCCTCCACCCTTATGAAATGAGTGGGTTGTACGAAATATCTTCCAAGCTCCCCTCTGACCATATCATTCTATGATTCTGTGACTCCAGGGTCTTATTTTGACCCAAAACCTAGGTTAGGAAAGATTCTGCTCCAAAGACCCCTGGCTTGTGAGATGCTCCCATTTAGGCATCTGGCTTTTTCTTCATTGGTGCTTTGAATTTAATCATTCATTGTGCTCCTCCTTACTTTTCCGTCTACCTACCGATTATTCTTCTGACCATCTTTCCCCTTTATGCACCTCTTAGAAAGTTGTATAGCTTTCAAAGTCCATAGATAGCCTAACCTTTGCCACTTCTTCCTGTTCTCCTTTTCTATCCTCTCTATTCGTGACCCCTTTTTTCTCCTTAGAGGCTTCTTCCCCTCCTTCAAGTTGCTCTTTTGCTCTTTCTGTTGAAATCCTAACATGCTGGACTCTAGCCCAGATGAACAACGATTTTATTTTGATCTTATATTCATATAGGAGGAAAAGAATAGCCTGTATTTTCCAGAGTTCTGCCCATCCTTGTTCCCCTAGAGACATCTCTTTATTCAGATCCACACCACCTTTTCTGATTAAACTTTTCAATATCTACTCGGTGCCACGCCACTGTAACTGCCTTGCATCTTATCTTCCTGCCTGAGCTCCTGTTTGGAATCTCTACCAGGAGAGGGGGGCCTTTAGCCTTTTTAGAGAAGGAGAAGCAGAACTGGCATTTCTTAAGCTAGTGCTCTTCTTTTGGTCTTCCGTGTGTGTGGAATATTCATAGCTCTTTAGCTAGCCCCAGCTTTCTGTAGGTAACATAGAGTGAAACAAAAACAACAGCTGATTTCCCTTTCACTGGGAATTTCCTATTCCAACCTTGCTTTTAGTGTGTAGATGCTGCTGATGCCAGAAGCCTCCCTCTACCCCTGTCTCCTCACCTGCCTGCCAGCTCTTTGGGGCCTGTACTGCAGAGCTCCTGCACTCCCTCTGTTTTGCAGTCATGGGATCATTAAAGGGAGTATGAGCATTTTCGTTTGCTCTGGCAGTGTGTGTGTAGGTGTGTGTGTGTCTGTGAGCTTGAAAAGCATTGTCCTATGGATATTTTTATAACCTGAAGCAATTACAGCTGTCAGCACAGAGACAAGCTGTGACAAGTTGATTTATGTGTACAGCATATGTGTATCCAAGAGGGAAGGGAGGCAGGAGAGGGAGATGGGGGGAAGAAGGTGGAGGTGGGCGCTTGTTAGGATGCTGCTTTCCAGGAGGCAGAAAGGAAGCTGTTTTTATAAAGAACACAAACAATGAAATTGCTCTGACTGTCATCCCTTTTTCATTAACTTGGATATGCTGGGAAAAATAAAATAAATCTAGCCGTTTTTATGAAGCAAGAGACAGGATATAGGATAAGCCACTAAGTGTTGGTTATATTTAGGGATTAGGGGATGGGCAGGGAGTTGACATATGATTTTGATCTTCATCTATTCAAACAACTTCAATAAGGAGTTCGGATGAAATGGATTCTGGCTTGTTAATTGTGCGGGCATCTCTGGTCTTTCACCACTTTCTAAACTTCCATTTTTGAATAAAGTTTGGGCCCCTTGACTCACGGAGAAGGTATGAGGTTGCAAGTGGCTTTTCTATCTCCAACCTGAGGATTACCTGAGCTCTGCTGGGTTTCCTGCCAGATGCTGCAGCTCAGCACCCTCCCTTCACGGTCAGAGACAAAGATGGTTTGACTGTCTTAGATCAATGACATGCAAACTGGTATAAAATGAACATCTTAAAGAGCCCATATGAAGAATTATTTTTCTGCCCAGTCATAATAATGAAGTGGTAGCAGACAAAATGTATTAATAAAGCATCTTCCACCTTAAATGGATTTCTAAGTATTTTCCTGTAGAGTTAATCATGTATGTAGGTCCCTAGGGAAGGCTGGTTGTTGTCATTATCCACATTCCCAGATGCAAAAACTAATGCTCATTTGTACCTACCTGGGAATTAGATGCAAGAGCCAGGACTAGAATTTATTACGAAAGGAATCTTCCCTGCCATTCCCAAGCCTGCAAGGAAATGACTCCATAGCCCAGAATGAATCCCTCTCCCTTCCTCACACTGTAATTATTTCCAGCTGAGGTAGTGAAGATGTGTGTACACAGAAGGGTTGGTAGGGGAGCATGACGGGTGGGTAAAATTGAAAGATGGATATTATTAGAGGTAACTCGTTGGCTTTAGGGGAAGAACAACTCCAAATTCAGCAGACTGTAAGTCAGCAAATACAATCTCACACTTTACTTCTTATAGGGTCTTGCAAGAATGGACTGGTGCAGAGAAAGATTTTCTCTTTTTTATTGTTTCAAAAATATAAGCAACACTCTCCCGCTCTCCATAGATGCATAGATGCCATTTTTTTTTTTTTTTTTTTTTTGCTTTTGCTCCCCACCCCCCGCCCCGATAGTAAAGTCATTTGTTGCAGGCATAAGTTGACAATTGATTTTTTTTTGGTGCTATATATCAAAGGGTCCCTACTGGCCAAAAGTAGCAGGTGGGTTTCCCTGAGAATTTAATCTCAGGAAAAGTCACCAGAGGAGATGAAGAAAAAAATGGCCCTAATGATGGATTAATTGAGATCTTCAGTGTAAAGTTGCTCAACTTTTAACGGTTGACCAATTTCTGGTTAACTATTAAAAGAAAAAAAAAAAACACATTTGCTCAGTCTGTCTTTGTTACCCTGGAGTATGGATCCTACATCTGCAAACCCTATCTCCATCCCTACCAGTCTAAAGTAGGGTGAGGCAGTATGGTGGGTAAAATGCTTGTTTTAATCTCTGACACATATGTTACCTACATGCAAGTAGTGGTTACAACCTGCAAGGTGTAAGGACTTTTCTGGCACTGGGACACTTACAGTTATAACGTATCAATCATTTTGGTGTTGGCTAGGTGGATTTGGGAAAGAACATCTTTTTCTGTTATTTAACAGCTATTGGAAAACAAAAAAAAAAACAAAACAAACAAAACAAACAAACAAACAAACAAACAAACAAAAAACAGATTCCTGGTTGTATCTGATAGAAAGTTGAGGGAGAAGAAACAAAGTCACTGTTGGTTGCCTCTTGTCTAAGCCCAGGAAAAATCTGGGTCAGTGTAGAGGGCTTAGATCTGGAAGTCCCTGAGGAGAAAGCATGTTAGCATTACTTAGCACAGCTGTGTGGGTTGGGCTGCTCTGGGCTTCTCCCTAGCTCAGGGGCCAGGCCCAGGAAGGGAAATGCACTGCATTCTTTCATAGCTGGACTTAAGGGAGAAATTTAAATGTAGGTATACAGGGACCCACAGCAGCTAGAGAGAAGTGACAAGAACTGAAGCAAAACCAGTTTTTCCCTGGGTTTCAAGAATTCGAAAAACACACCTCTTAAGATGATTTGAAATCAGCTCTGCAAGATTGTGAAACCCAGGAAACTTGGGAGTCCGCAGTATAAATAAAGCAAGTGGCTCACACTCAATCATGTGAATGAGCACTTTTGCAGGGCTAGCATCTTTTAATGTCGACAAAACAAGAATAAAGAATGTAAGTTAGTGTCAAACTTGACCAAAATTTTGATGCGATTTTGCCACTTTTACACACTAAGAGACTTCTGTGATTTTGCATTTATTTTATATATGGGAGATCTGTTTAGAAAGGTGGTGTTGAGTCTCCGGTGTTGGAAAGTAGCTTCTGGGGGGGGG